AAGAGACATTTTTTCCTTAGTGAAATATGTTGATCAATAACTGATCTTTAAAGAAGGTTAAGTTCAATTTTCAAATCATAATAATTTTTGCGAAATGTTTTGTTAAACAGGCATTTTTATTTTCTTTAAAAACCACACGACGTTGTTTTTTTTTTTTTGGATTAATTTGGAAACTTAGCATAAAGGACGCTTAGAATAATGGTGCAGGTTTCATATTCATTAAAATGCGTGATTATGCGAAAATGTTTAAAAGCTTAAAATATTTCAGGGTGTTCCTACAACTACAATTGTAAAGATACATTTGCTTTTCTTAATAAAATGTATTCATTAAAAGCAAATCGTATTGAACTTTTTGAAGATATTAGTATTTTTGTATAATTTCGCGACAAACATAGTGATATGCCGCTCGAATTTACTGCGCTTGGTATAAGTGTAAATGTGAAAATACTATTTTTTTAATGACTTGAATTTATCAAAAATAGATCTTCAAATAAGGTCACGTTAAATTATTTGAAAATATGAGTATTTTTTGTTTAAATAGGCTACAAAATTAAATGCCCGCTGCAATTTTACAGCACTTCGTGAACGATTCCGCACAGTTCCATGCATTACATCAGAATTTTGTATATTATTTAATATTGCTTTGTTCGTTTCTTACATTCGGCTATTAATTTACACATTACTTATTTATATTGCTACAATGACTGGGGAGCTCATTTTTGTGAATTTGGTCTACTGTTGTGAAGTGATCTACCTGCATGAATAGCAGTAATAATTTTCAAATTTGTGTTGATATTTGATATTTAGTTTTTGCACGAAAGGTTGTAAGATTTGTAATAAGCAAGGTTGGGCAGTATTGAAATATTGTATTTGCAATATGTATTTTAAATACATTGACATGTTCATGCAGGCCAACTGAATGACTATTTTCCTTTGCAAGTTTTATACATCTACGAGTTTATAGCCTGATATATCATGAACTCAAATCATTTACTAGGAAGTTAATTTTGAGAAATAAAACAGTCGTTTTAAAAGGAAATTTAATTTCATGTTATTTTTGATTTGATTTTATCAAGTCATAGTTAGTCCGAAGGGTGTTTTCGTTTCAGTTTTAGCTCATGCAGGCCGTTCGCGGTTCTTTTATCGTATCAGGACGGAAGTTGACAGCACCGTACGCGTAGCACGCTTCATTCAAAACGAGTGACAAGTTCTTCAGAAACAGGAATTCTCACACTTCCCTCGGTGTACTAGGAGCAATGGGAAGATACTCACTCCTAATAAATCTTACCTTGAGGATTTAATAAAATTATAAATCGTGCTGGATAGAAATTACAATGTAGAAAAAGATTTGAATTTTTGCAACTTTCAGGCTTGTTGACGAAAATGAGAACTACACCATTCGTATAAATCTCCTTTATATAATGAAACAACAAAATTTAATAAAGAAAAACTTTGGAGCTTTTTTTCTTTTTAAAATGTCCTAGGGGATTAATGTCTAGGAAAGGAAATAGCTAAACTTTCAAATGATGAAACTATCATTTTTGTATTTTATTTTTTTTAAAAATTGTAGTACGTAACTAATTAAAAGGATTACATTACTATTACAAAAAGCGAGAAAGTACGTGGTGTTTTAGCATCACTAGTTTAATTTGTAATTGTTCTTTTCTCTTGCAGTGTATGTATACGACGTATAGATACTTTCAGATACTGTAAATTTATATGCAACAAAATCTATGAAATAAAATAATGTCTTGATGCAGATCGTTTTTTCTATCCCCTGTAAAGTTGTGAAAATGGAAGATGTACTCTTTCTCCATTGGACTGTTCAAATGTTCCTTGGATCACAATCATGTCTGGTTTTTCGATATTTTACACTGTATATTTAATATTATGTTATTGAAGTATTCGTGAAGGCTGTTTTTATTAAAATATTTCATTTATTGCAGTGTTGTACGCGAGAATTGTTTTAGTTCTTCTGGAGCAGATGTGCACCACGTTTTTGAAAATCCATTTTGGTTTATTTTGTTCAGCAGCATTTTTACTGCTGCAAGTCACTAGGAAGAACTAATTTGTTTAATAAGAAAACGAACAACCCTGAAAATGAAATATTTTTACATATTCATGTAGATTATTTTGGAGAGATAATGAACCATTTTTTTAATCTACTAATGCATTTTGGATATTTGGCTCTCGATTTTTTATTTCATTGTTGATAAATAATATTGCGACCTCTCGTACTATCTCTATCAGATGTCAAGCAGACATCAACCCGGCTCTAGGGACGCCAGCATCAACCTTAAGCCGTAAGGGCTACTTAGCGAAGTACAGTTGATTTTTGGAGAATTAAGAGTGCGACATCCCGTTATTGTTTACAGTCTATCTTATCTTTGAGATTTGGACCGAAATTTAAATTAAATGGGGCGCAATGTAATAACTCGTAAATAATAATTAAGAAATAAAAATGAAACCAGATTAGAACTTTTTCGCATACTGATGATGCGTGTATCATCGTGATGATGGAACATAATCAGTTATTAACCCTAGCACCCTGTTTCATTAATAATTATGTAATCTCTGTATGGTGTCATATCTGACACCGGTAAATAATTGCATTTTTATTACATAGTATTATTACATATTTTATTTCTATTGTTGTCACCAAAAATATTAATTAAATTAACCCTTGTGCTTCGGAGGGAGGTAACGGAGTCACCCTAAGTCATATTTTATTAGTTTTTCTCATCTTATAGTTTTTTTACATTTATAATATCTTTTGTAATTGTTGTTTTACATATATACGTAAAATTAACGTGTTGGAGAAACCTGTTTTTGGTGGCATGTAGTCATTTCTCGGTGTGAAATTATACCTAGGGTTACTGCTTACCCCCTTGATATTGGACGTTCGGTATTTAATAACGTGCTTTGAGGTTATGTTATCAGCGGGACATGGGTAGTGGTGTTATGGACACGTCAACCAATTGTTCTACCTTAATGTCGAAGGATTACAGTCTTGAGGGATTTGAAAACTATTAAGTATTCACAATCCAGATGATGTAAATGAAGATGTTCATGAAGTACTAATTGTGTTATAAGCGTGTTGAAGATATTGTTGAGGTCGAACTTGAAGATATTATTTGTGCTTAAGACGAGGGAACGTGAAAGATGACGCGCACATCAGTTCAGAAACTGTTCAAGAGTATCATGTGAAAGATGCAATGCATATTGTATGCGTCCTAAATGTTGCATACTTTGGCATTCCTGACTCTTCGTCGTGAAAGATGACTTGTATGTAATTTATATTGTTAAAATCGCTGAATATTTTATTATAAATCAAAATAATGTTTAATATGCATAACCAAAAGAATATTACGACATTTACAGTAAAAATATTGAAATTTCCTTGTGGTAACTTCGTTACCTCCTTGGTATTTGACATGTGCAAAATATCTCAGTAGTTGAAGAGTTAATTTTAAATAACATCAAACTTTGATTTTTTTAAACTTTTTATCTTAAAATTTTGAACATTTTAGTAATGAAAAGATTCAGCATATTTATAAATTCAATTGAATATGTTGTACATATCACACACATATAAAATATAATATGTACATGAGAGCAATAACAAGTCTTTCTTCAGGTGAGATAGTTTCATGATTGTTAAATATTAGATTTTCTTATGTCTTCTGCTGATCAGATTCAAAATTTCATCAAACTAGTCACTGGTCATTGTAATATAGTAAATATAATAGCGTTTCTCATCCTTTGTGTCATCAAGGTATGAAATTCTCGGTACTTTTTCAATTGTAGGTCAACATTATGGACCTCTTTTCTTCCTTTCCTATATAAACATTAACAGTTTGAAGGAAAATTTTATAAGGTTTTATAAGGTTTGAAGGAAAATACTATGCAATATAATATAATATAATAAACTAAACATGTCAACAAAATAATATAAAGCAGCACCCAGCTATTTATGTTATTCAAAATAAACATTTAAGAAAGTGCTTGCTAAGGATTCAACAATGCTAATTGTATCCCATCCGATTTAGTGGTCATTGTTGCTTGTAGCCCATCGTTGTAATGCCGAAGTTATAACAGAAAGTGAAATGACGGCTGCCTTTCATTTACGTTAATATAAACTAATCATTTTATTTATGGCTAAAGTACGCATCGTGCATCGTCGGTACATTTACGTAGAACGTGGATACACTTAATTCAATGGCAGAAAGCTGTTTTCATTTAAGCGTTTGAACTTAAAATACATATGTATTTTTCACGCTTCATTTGTTTAAGAATTTTTCAAATGGTAGTTGAAGTGTGAGGCAGAAATTATCATACTATAATATGACATAGCCATTAACAATATCGCGAGAAAGTACGTGCTGTTGAAACACCATTGATTTGATTTATTCAGTCAAAAAACAGTGAAAACTGTATGTGACATAGGGGGGAAAGATCATCTGCGCACGTTTTCTTGAGTTCCAGAATTCCTGCCCGTCTTTTTAACTATAAATAGTTGAAAGATGAGTAAAAGGTTAACATAAATAAATAAAAAATAAATTTAAAAAAATACATTTTAAAAAATCGCCTGATTAGCGATATTTGAAAATTTGACATTTTTGTTTCTGATTTACAGAAAACTTATTTGCATCAGTACACGAATTCCAAGTATGATTTTTCTGAATTGCTTACAAAATAGCAACTCGCCCTTACCTCTACTCTTACGATACAAGCAAAAGGAGAGTTCAACAAAACGTGCGCGTAGTGAATCTACATTAATTTTTCATGTGCCGAGGTTATATTCCTGGATAGAACATGGCAATTGATTGCTGCCATATATAATATTGTATATATGGTATATGGTGTTTATATCTATTTCAAGTGTTTCTTTTGGTAGGTACTGCTTCCACATTCGGCTGGTAATGAGAATTCCACAAGTTTCTCAGTTAGTAACCGTTTCTTCATCAGTTGGCGGGCAGATACCGCCGAGTAAAGGTGTATTATGAGAGGACAGCCTCGCATTTGTTTTCACGAGTGGAAGTGTTGCTAGGTTAGAACTGAATAGTGAAGTGCTCATTACATTCATAATATCTAAATATTTAAATTAACATACTGGGCGATAGCTGTCTCACCATGCCATGGATTCTTCTGACTACAGGGAAGCCATAACCTTCAACTACACGGAAAATCAACATGATCAAGTAAGAAAATCATATTCTAGTGCTGTGGTGTTGTTCCACGAAGGGACAAGCTGTAATAATAGAATCACAAGAGAGACTATCTATCAAAGTCTATATTAGTAGAGTTACCACGATTGTAATTGCTAATGACATAAGATTCACATCTCATATCGCTAACAACATAATATGTACATTCTTTGCCAACCAAGAGGTAGCCGATAAATTCACAAAAAACCACCAAATAATACAAAGGATCTTAATCTAGCAGTGAAATCATTTTGTTAGTAAACATAAAAGAGTAATAATATGAAATGTTTGCCCTTCAATTTCCCATGAAATAATAGAGAAGTTAGAATATCTACTATAATATCCTTTGTAAAATCTGGTATGAACTTGTTTTTTCTCATAAGTATTATGAGTTTTAGATGACAAGTCTTATGTTCCTCCAAAAACCTAGAAAAACACCCAATTATACACTTGTAGTCTATGAAGGTACATCATATAGAATGTTTTTTCTTTTGATAACATCTCTGGCTTAATCTGCAATTATAAGGGTCACATTGCAAACCAAAGTCCTTCAAAAACATTGAATAATGATTCATTATAAGATCATTCTGAAATGAAATCCATGGTTATGGTTATAGCAATTGAAAATACATTAATAGTACATGAAGCACATAATAAAAATACATAGATTTTCCCATTTTACAGAAAAGAGCCTACCCTGGGGGTACCCTTTGGAAATCATTGCACTAAATTAAACTATAAATGGATTGTTATTAAAACATTTTTTCTTGTTGCAAAATAATTGATTAGGAAAACTAAAATGTAGCAATGTCTACACAAACATCAATACAAAATTAATAAAGCAGAATATTTATTTTAGTAAAAAGAAAATTAAATGTCGGTAACGGCAAGAACTGGTTATTAGTTAAGCTTGATTTGAATTTCAAAGCATGTCAATTATATATTTGTTTATTTTTTATTTAAAAGTTTCGTTCAATATCTGAATATCGTTTTGCATTTAATCTGTTTCGATATTTATAATAGTATACGTACGGTTAATTTGGGGTCTGAAATTCCACCAAACAGTTATTTATGATCCGAGTGATAAAAGCGACATTTTGTTTTCCGACTAGAAAATAGTAGCTACACAAGGTCAATTGGGTAGAGTGACTCAAACCTACGAACAAAATAAAATTGCTTTTATCACGTGTGTCATGCATAATGTTTTAGATGGCCCTACTGACTTTAATTTCACTTTAATTCCAGTATAGAAATAACTTAATGATACATGAAGGTCAGTAAAAGCTGATGCGTTCAGACGAGATTATTTTTTCTTAGGCACATTAACATTACATTAACACAGGCTGGGCTCGTCATTCAAGGCTGTAAGGTGGATCCTCTCCTATAAAAATCACCCCCAAAAGAAATTTTAAATAATATTTTTAAATGTATTTATTAATAATGCATTTGAGTTATATTATGTAACAATCTAATAAAATGTTCGTCAGTTCGATAACGGCCGCCGTAAAGCAAGGAAGATAAAAGCGTTAGGCTCCCACTCATTATGCCATATGATCTATGTAAAACGACGAGGTGTGACGTCATGCATTCACTACACAGGCTTCGCGGCGGACCAAAGCTGTGGCAAGGCAGCCTTGGAGGATGGGGTGTAGGGTCTGGAGAAGGGCGTGCTCACCAGATAGCATGAACTGATCTATGTACAAAACAATCAAATAAATAAATACACCAGATAGCATTACTATACAGCTCAAAGAGAAGCATTGAGCAACAGAATAGTTTTTCCAATATGCGGTAGGAGGGGTTACTCCGTTATGTCTGTATCGGAAGACATCATGTATAGAAATACAGTGCTTTTGCAGCCATCCCCATTTAGAAAACAGAGTCGCGACTGCATTCATATTCACTTTGTTGCGTTCTGTACACATGAGTTTTATCCCTAGTATTAAAAATTGAACTTTTAGTACGCTGTATACGTCCTAAAAATAAGCGCTTTTACTACTGGTAGCCTAAAAACAATATTTTCACAAAACTCTCTTTTATACGAAAGCTTGTGAAGTACCAGGCGGGAAGTGCATTGATTAAATTGTCAGTAGGACGAAGCGAAAAGTTGATTGGTTCTAGACAGTTCAGAGAGATCACCTTGAATCGCCACGAATCTGGCGTCATTAGCCGAATTTCTTATCTATCATGTTTGGAGTCATAGAAGTTAAACAACTCGAGACACCACAAATTCTTGGCAGGCGAACCGTCTAGGAAACCTAATTACTGAGTGTGGTAGAAATTTTTTACATTTTCTTTCACTTGAAAACTGTAGCAACAACTAAATTCGTATTAATTTATTGTAAAACAATGTAACCGGAGGAAAAATAAGTTTTTTATTACGTTATTTGGGTTTGATTTGTACTCTTCGTATGCAATATTTCCATTTTAAACTCCTTTCTGAAAGTGTTTTTAAATCTTGCCATTCACTGCAACTTTCAAGCACCTCTGAAAAAAAAAGGATAAGCACAAGTGCATAAATCGTGCATAATCTACAAAATTACACTACTCTCTGATCAATCAATCACATTATTCAACCTAAACATCCAGAAACATCGAAACACAAACTAGGAAAGTTCTGTTTCCCATTAAACACCACCTAATATTTAATCCGACCCGGCGTGAAGGTTATCGTCACTTGTACAACATGTTTTTAGATGCAATGCCTGTTATTCTAGACAGTTATGTTTGATTTATTATTTAAGTGGTACATTTCCAAGTGCGCACTTGTCCGAACACGATAATTTTACAGAAATGTCAAAAACCTCTTAAATGCACTTAGGCAAGAAAATGTAACTTAAACTTTTTATTTCGTTTATTTTCAATCGTAGAATGCTACATTTAATTTTTTGCTTTCTTTCCTTCCATCATTTCCCCTTTAGTTTAGTTGAAAATGAAATTATTTTCTTGGACAAGGGTCATTTTGAAATTGTGTTGTAGACAAGGGGAATTTTGGAACTGTATTGAATAAACAAGAGTCATTTTGTTCTTGCAACATTATTTTAGTTAGAAAACTATGCTTTTTTTGAACGATGCTAGTGACAATTTAACAATTTTCCATGAAGCCACCTTCGTTTTCGTCTCTGACGGGAACTCAACTTAACTGACAGAATCATCAGTAAATGTTTGTAAAATGCGAAGTGTCACAATTCAGTCCATCCCTCTCCGTAGTGCAGAACCAATAAGCGCTGGACTTTCTTCCTCTTCGTCAATTTTATTGGCTCTCCAATGTTTATTTTTGAAGGGCCAAGGTCTCCTGCATTTCCGGCCGACAAATCTTTTGTTGTTGCATCTAACTCCACAGTGTAGTGAGGTTCTCCCTGAACGACCCCGGTTGCTCTTGGTGTGGTCACACGTTTCACGACTGAAAATCGAAAATGACATTTCTTTGGTAGCTTTACAACTTTTGTAACAGTTTTTTTCCCTGTTCGGTATGCCAAAGACTTTCCAATTCTAAACACTATACCATATTTTTCTATAATAAGGTAGTATACGTATGGTGTCTATCATTTTGTAGGTATTCAAATAATTCTCTCTTCTTCTGAACATCCGATCTGGTGGTATGAAGGGGTGTCAGATTGTTAGGAGAATAGATCTATTGGTTGCGAAGACTTCCGCGGCCGGAGTTTTTGTTGTCTAGGCTATCCGGGACGAGCCGCGTCACTGGCATGGTTGCTAACGTGTCGGCCAGCGTATTATGGCCTTCTTCAGAGTACTCTGAAGAAGGCGACAACTGGCGACGCTGGCCGAAACGTTAGCCAGTATGTCTGTGACGCGGCTCGTCCCGGATAGACTAGACAACGACTAGATATATTTCCTTTATGTTTGGGGGAGCCTCTCAATCATGCCAGCTGTGGTACATGGTCAACATAGAAATATGAAAACCATTCCTATTTTATATTCACACGTTGAAAGCTTGGATTTTGTAGAGATCTATTTGTGTACAATTTTCTTCCATCTGACAATATTTATCAATTTTTAGAACCTCTTTCCTCTGAGGAAGGAGATGTTGAACCGAAGACTTGCCTAATCTCGTTCTCAAAACTTGCCTACTGTGCTTTGTTCATTGATGTTACAGGCTATGATAAATTAAAACGTTTTTTATTACAAAGATTAATTATGAATATCAGTTATTACATACACGAGTAAATTTAAGCATAGAAATTAGAAACTGGAAGGAATGTACGTCTTCCCGCAGCAAAGGAGGTAACTTTAAATAATTTACTTATGGCTGAAAATTTTTTGCTTGTACACCATACCGAATAAGGTACTACTATCATAACCAACAGTACAGTATAGAAATTATTGTATAACGGTTGTTTATTAAGTGCACAGAGAAGTTTTTAATCTGAAGTGACAAATTCAATTGACAAATAATTAAGAGCGCTTTTAAAAATAAGAATTACATTCTTCATATACTCCGTATGGGAACAAGTTCCATTTTTCTCTTTAATCTTGTTGGATTTTACTATAGTCAGCCATGATTGATACTGTTTTAAGGACAAGGTGCGTTTTGATTCAGATTGAAAATTTCCAATTCATTTAATTTGTGTTTTTAGAAGTTTTAGATTTTAGGTTTTAGAAGAGTTTTGTAACTAAGTCATGTCTTTTTTTGCTATAAAATGCAGTGCTTCTAATATGTCAAATTCTAAAAATGTTGGAATGCGCATTTGGAAATGGACCATCTGACTCATTTGTGATATCTACCATGTGTCGTTAGAGTTTTCGTCGTGTATTTCGAAATCGTGGAAGGGCAGCAGAGACTCAGCAATTCGAGGTGGGCGGTACCGGGCCTTAGGTCGAATTAATGAAAACTCGAATTACAAAAAAAGGATTTATTTTTTAACAAAACATAAACACAATTTTAAATTTCAAAATACGTATATTTCAGCAAAAATGTACTACCATAATATTATTATATTAATTGCTGAAGATAATTGACAATTACTTTAAGATGTAATTAACTTGTTTTTCGTTTAGGTACATTGTTTCTTTTACGGGCGGAAATATCATGCCATCTTCTGAACATCACATTGTCAGCTGGAGTTGCCTTCGGTTCTTGTTCTACATACTTCATGGCGACTTCTAGTGCAGCAAGACCCAGGTTGTGACTCACGCAGTGTGAAATCAATTAGGTCCTCCTCCTCATTGTTATCCTGCTCTACTACATTAATCATATCAACTTAGCTGCATCCTTAAATTTTAGTTGTTATTAGGCCATTCTTCCACCACAGAAATACTGGTCGCGAGAGTTTTCTTGATATTCCTCAGCGGGGGTGCGGGCTGAGGAAAGCTCTGCTTACGTCACAGCATAAAAGAGCATACCAATTCTTGAAATGAACATAGCGTGCCAAAGCGTAGGATGAACATACGTAAATGATAGCAATTACTCCGAGTCATCGGGATAGCTGTCGCGTTCGCTTTCACTGGCCGTGTCCCCAGCAACATTACCGATAATATCGTCGATGACTATTTCCAAAATTCCATCTTTTTGCCAATATTCGTTTTTACACTTCTCGATGTGTTCGCAACAGCCTTTCCAGTCTGCAGATGTGACAATGGAGAGTGCGTTGTGTGTAAGTTCATGGAAGTGTTGCACTGACAAGTATCCAGTGACATTATGTCCCTAAACACTCTTTTAATTTTAGCCCGTGCTAACTCTATGGGATTGAGGTCTCAATTGTAAGGTAGAAGACGAATAACAGTATGACTCCTTTCAGAAGCCATTTTGTCTATTACATAAACCTTTTCGCTCGGTTTATTGGCCAGTATTAGGTCGAACAAATAACTTTTACGCTGATTGTGATCACAATCAATTCCCCTCTTTCTTGACTATTCTATCATTGCCAGTTTGGTGTCGTATCTTTACGGGACTCTTTCGGCTTGCCTAGAATGGTAAGGGGCATTATCCATAACATGCGGGTGTAATTGCGTATTGAACCATTTTTCAAAATTGATAGAGTTCATTTGTCCATGATAATCCTCTTGTGACGTGTTCGCGTCCATTATTAGGTTAGCATCTGCAACAAAACAACTTCGAGAACCTGCACTAACTATAATGAGTCGTTTTGCAGAACTACCCCACGAAGTCACTCCTAAAATATCATTCTCCTTTTTCCAGCACTTTCATGTGGTCATATTATTATCTATCCAAGATTCATCTAAATAAAAAATCTCCCTTCCTTCCTCTGCAAAATGCTTCATTCTCACCAAGTATCGAGATCTCCAATCTACCATATCACATCGTTCTAACAGTAATTTTCGTTTGTTTTGAACTTTTTCCCAAACGAATCCCATAGATTTCAAAATGGGTCGAAGTGATGAAGGGCCCCAATTCCAATTGATTTTTATTTCAGCACTAGTAGTAGTTTTGTTATTGTAGGAACGACCTTCTGGACAGTGTAAAAATCATGAATAGCGTCCCTGATTACTCTCTTATCAAAATCGTCCAACAGGATTTCCCCGCATGTTCTTGTTCTGACAATAAATAAAAAAAGGTTCATGCACTTACCATTCGCGAAAAAATAAAACAAAAATAAATATTTCCAAATAATTAGTATAATGTATTTCATTTAATAAAAACGACTGTAGTACCTCTTTTTGCCTGCAGTTTCAGGTGACTGATCTGGGTGCAAAACCTTAAATTGCTTTATTCTATTCACCAATGCAATGCTTGCACGTGCAAGCTGCCTCCGGTCGCCCTCTTTAAGACTTGGTTAAGAGAGGCAAGGAGCGTCTTGTTCTCTTTCTCTCTTTGACAACAGCCTACCACGTTAGCAATAGTTTTCCTCTTCCCACTATGAAGAGTGTAGATACGGCGAGATGGTGGCGTTCTCGGAGTTTCCCGAGGGGGCCCTAGGACTGCCTTTGCCATACTTAATCTTCACGTAAAGTTGTGAAGATAATAGTGATCAAATGTCCAAATAAAGATTTCTACTAGATAAATAAGCCAAAGTCATATAAAAGGAAGAAACAATAAACTAGTCAACTAAATAACAGTAATCCGTCATCGTTAAACCAAACCAAAAGCCAAAAACGTCGTAAAGTATGGGAACAATATATTAGCAAACCATTAATTAACCCACTTGCATGAAAATAACTTCGGCTGTTTTGAATGTACGAGGTGGGAGATGGTAGCACTGTAAATTGATACGTACAGTTCCGAGTCGGGCCTAAGAATTTCAACGGGCCGTGCTATTCAGCGCTGGGCATGAGTTAGCGAGCCATTGTACCAAGAAAATTTGCGCGACAGGTACGTGTTTTGCACACTGGGATTAAAAAAAATTAAACTATACAAAGAACAATTACAAAAATTATACATCGTCCTCATTAATGTCCTGGTTAATATTGTTTTCTGTACCTTTATTCTTCAAATTTTTATTCCAAGATTTCAGAATTGTATCTGTGGTTATTTCGTCCTATTAACCAGCCACACAGTACACAACGTCTTTAACAGTAACTTCCTTAAAGCATCTACAATGGTTTCTTCACCCTCCGTGGATTCTAGAATATACTGTGTAATCTACGGCCATACTATTTTTAAGATTTGTATAACCCCTTGATCCATCGACTGGATCAAACTGGTTACATTTGGGGGTAAAAACACGGCACGAATTCCGTCGCAATGTAATTCATTTTCATTTGGATGGGATCTTACGTTATCAAGCACCAAGATGGCCATGCAAGGTAAATTTATTTTTTTCGATTGTATAAAAATACTGGAAAAAATAAGATTAAAACGTGTTTTAATATCTCTTACGTCATCCCAACACATGTTTGGACTTGATACCTAACCGGTAGAGACGATATGCAAACATGTGTATAGCTCTTGGCTTCGCCGATTTTCCGACGGTTCATTTTGTGTCTTCCTGATGGATTTGATCCCGCAAAAAGGGTCAATTTCTTTGCTCGTTTGGTGATCTGAAGCACTTTTCACGTAACGCGAGTGTTTTATAATGTAGCATTTTCAAACTAAGGCCAGTCATCGCAATTATAATGCTGGTCATTTGTGTTTCATTTTTCACTATCATCAAACTTTCAATAATCATCAAACTTTTACGGCGGCTTCAGAATTAGCACATAATTTCTCTCTACACATCTCAGGTTGCTGATTACCATTTTTTCCCCACTTGTTAAAGCAGCCTACACAAGCTGTGAAATTTTTAGTATCTCCCTTTTCAAATTATTTTTGAAACACCGAAGCTTTTTCTTCAGGAACCGGAACAAAAACTGGGAATTATTTTTGCCTTTGTTGAGTAATCCACCTAAAAGGTGCCACACCATGTGTTTCATATTCAGATTTTTTCCAAAACTTTCTGTCCAATTATAAATCTGAGCATTTGTTACCAGAAAAAACTTATAATTTGCTTCGACAATATAATTTCTTCTAATTTTCGCCTTCTAATTTGCTACGCCAATCACCAAACGTAACTTAACCTCCGCCATATTCAACTAAATTTTTTCAACTAAGGTTTTCCTCAGTCTTAATGCTTCTAATTCCACTGCTAATAGAACGAATGTCCATTTCCTTTTTGTAGAATTGATCATGAATAATCAAGGATTATCATGATCTTCTCCCCACACGTCAAATACAGTTTTGACTGTTTTTGACTAAATAAATAAAAAAGGATTGTGTAAACTAAGTAAAGAATCTTTCAACGGTGGCGTAAATCGCGTGTGCTAGTACCGATCTAAGCGAACTACAATCTACACAACTAAACAAATGTTGTTTGACCGATTCTGCGTAAAACAATACTGATACTGCACTAGTTCAACAACAATATAGCGAACCGGCCAAACAACAGTAAAAAGCAGGTGTAAATTTTTCATGTCATGGTAATTTTTCGGGAATAAATTGATTTATTTTTATTAATTTTAATTAGCTTTTTGGTAAGTCGAATTCACCTCGGATTTATGGGAAGCTCAAACAATCGATACTGTAGTTATACGGATTCTACTTTACATACATTTTCTTGTAATGACAGTACATTTACTTCATCTTCATTACTACTCATTTGTTTTGATTGTTGTTAAATCGATGGACTATAAAATCCTTAAGGGACGATGACCGTTAGAGTAATATTTTGCTTGTTTGCTTAAGTGAAAATAACGTCACATCGGAACAAAAAGCCACATCAATACGTGCGTAGCAGGGCCGTTTTAACAGTGTTGGGAGCCCCCTTTTCTTACTATCACTGAACTCCCTCCCCCCCAATTTCGATGCTGAAATAAAAAGAAAGTATTATCAATTGAGATTGTATTTTGAATTTAAAAAAAATATATTTCTTAGTGTTTCCAACATTATTTCAACATACAAATATGTAAGAACCGCCCCGTTATGCCAATGTCCTGCATATACTTTAATCATGCGTTGCTTTTTGAAACGGTTGTCTATTTTTTTTAAACATTTAGTATTAATTTTCTTAAGAATTATCGGGGACTTTTGAATGTTGAGGGCCCTGGCCCCTGCATTAGCAAGGCACTGGTATCCGATAACAGTATCACTGCACACGTGGTTTTGTGATTACCCCTCTTTAAAGGGTGCAGGTAAGCGCATTCATCGGTTTGCTCTTACTATGGCTAACTTTCGGGAACAATCCAGTAACTAAATGTTCATCCGCCAACAATAATAATGCGAGTTTCATTGAAAGTGTTATTTAGCATTAGTGCTCTGTGATACCGATTTAACGCAACGAAACAGAAGAATGAAGAACTATTCCTAACAGTTGGCGTTCCTTTCGCATTTTACCGACGCCCTCCAAGGAAATAAATGAGTCTTAGCAATATTTAGCATATGAGTATTTTTTTGTTGCCAGTAAACGTATTATAGACTGGACTAGCAAATTCAAAATTTCAGCCATAAATGATCGTATTATAAGGAACATGATTTAGGTAAATGCAAATATTTGATTGCATATTGTTATGAGTATATATAATAAGATTAAAGCTGAAATGTTTCTGTTTCGATTGAATTCTTTTTGAACATGCTTTGTTTAAATTTTGTCTTTTTTGCATAAAATTATTTTCTCGCGTATACTATGCGGCAGCCGTCACTAAACCATAACTCGCGAGCTACCAGTAGCTCGCGGGGATATTTCACACGCAGGGTTTGGGTTGGGTTGGCTAATCTGCGCTGTTCATCCACTCTATGCGAGCGCGTCCGTGTGCATTAAATTGTGTTTAATTAGATTTAATATAAACTAGAAATGTATATTTATAGGTTATAAACAAATATTATTTAAACAAAAACGTATTATTTTCCTACTTGGATGGGTAGCTCACGGTAAGATTTATGAGCTGTAAGTGTATCTCAGCCGCTTAAAAGGGTAGTGATTCCTGCACACGGTTTCAGCATACGGAAACATACGTCTCCGTACTAGAAAATTAAATGTTTCTCTCGATTATGAAAAGCAACATAAACGCGTTGCTTTTCATAATCTACTTCAATAACCAAGCGCCTCCGTTACCATTTCTTGAACTTTTGAAAACGAATGTGTATTACACCTGATTGACCATTCAGGTTTAGTAATCTTAATCGATTTCAATCTGCCAGTCTGTTATTTGTAAGGCATCGAAGTAGACGATCATCAATCGGTGGGAGAGCAAATTATTGAAAAACTTGTGAAGTTCGTCGGCGTATTTCAAAATAACAACCAAAGATCCTGGCCCTTGAAAATGTAACAATTAGGCTGTCAGCACATGCCGGCATTAGAATCTGTTTGAGAGCACTAAATATTTAGAGAAAGATATTATGTCCATTCTTGGCTATCCGCGATGAGCCGCGTTTCGGTTAATTGTGCTGACGTTTTGGCCATATTTCTGCGGCCTTCTTCAGAGCTATACTGGCAGTATAGCTCCAGTATAGCTCTGATGAAGGCCACAGCAAGATCGCCGGAACGTCAGTACAATTGACCGAGACGCGGCTCATTGCGGATAGCCAAGAATGCATTGACTCCGGCCGCGGAAGCCTACGAACCCAAAGATATTATGTGTCACATGTCGTGGAGTTATTTCCACGTTTGCCCAATCTCTGTGTTGCTACATCAACTGTCGTGTTCTTGGAGTAGAGTATTCTCCTCGCCTCCATGGATGTTCGATAATGCACCAGTGGCGAATTTCCAAGGGAGGCCAGGCCTCCCACAAAATTGATTAACAATATTAAAAGCTGTCTATTTTTTCAACTTAAACATTTTTAGAATTAACTTTGTCTAAAATTGACATAAATGTTTACGTCAAGCTAGTAAACATTTAAAAGATGTAAGCTGGAAACATAGCGTTACAATTTAAGATGGAGCTTGTGCGTGCAGGATACCGATACCGGCGGCCGAAGCTGATATGCGCTTTCTCTGTTGCCATAACAACGTCCCTCTACTAATAAGAAAGTAGTTTTGTTTTGTACAGCTTTGGAGTTGGTTTGGCACGGAAGCTTTCGCGCGTCTGGCCTCATGTGAAAGCGTTGCGGTCATACACAGTGGGTGCTCTGTGGTTGCAGTAAGTGGCACATCCACTATTTCGGTGGACACGAAAAAATTTCATTGGATGTACCATTTTTGCGGAGAAGTGATTCTAAATGAATATAAATATTAAATCTAATTATTTTATTTGGAATGTCGCCAATAACAGTTATGTGACGTAAGATTCTAACATTCATACAAAAACATATGTCAAAATAATGGAAGCGTAGATTTTCACAACAATACATTAAGTAATATACATAAATAATTCCATATTTAAAAAATGCAAATTCTACCGTTATTCACAGCCTCCCTGTAACATAGTATATAATGTTCAATTACGCTGTATTCTATAAACAGGCATGTAATTGGTTACAAGAACAAATTGCTAGAAGAATGTTTGAGCAACTAGTAACGTACAAAGAAAAATGTTCGTGAAAAGAAAAATCAGGAAAGAATTAAACATCTGCATTGCCAAATTTAATACAATTTGCTGCTTAACGTGAAATTTCCAACACCAATGAATATTCAAATGGTTCAGCAGAAATATTTACCAAGAAAATTTACTACTCATTACAGTATTCAAAATTATATGCATTAATAAAGTTTACAAACATTAGTAGTAAAGAATTGAAAATTTACTTAAAATAAAACATTAGTAACTCAAAACAAACATAGCAGATCTGACTTAAACATTAACTTTTATGCACTGATTTCACATCAAAGCTGATTTCCAGTTGAACAGAACATCTAAAGAAAATGATGCATTGTCAGAACTTCACGATTGCATATCTCAAACATTTAGTAATGTAATGTATATTTCACTCCCATTTCAACTCTTTGAAGTGAATGAATGATTTTTTTTACCTTTATATGAACTACATTTGAATAACAACATACCCGTCCATACTATACACATATTCTACCCACATACTAAGCTTTCTTCTGTATTTATTAAACACACATTACCTTTATCCTCTTACAACCACCTCACCATATCCTGAATATTCCACCTTGCCCCCCCCCTTCATCCTTCGTCAAAAACCAAACATCTCTTTAAAATATGTTCTCAATCTCATCCTCTTCGACATCAGAGATCATGCATTTTCCGTCTTACTATTCAGCCAATATTAGCTCGGTCTCATTTCACTACCTAACATATATCTAGCTATCTTGCATTGTCACTTTCTTTATATTTACCTTTTAAATAGCGGGGAATATCATCCATCAGAATAATTGTACACTATTCAACTCTTTGAAGTGTATAAAATCCTAATCACTTAGCAACCGTACTTCATCTGAACAAAAAATATCAGATGCTAGTGGTAACGATTAATTGTATTATGAGAATACTGTGAAATAAATGTATAAATCGTGAAATATTTGATTAATTCACAGTGATTGATTAATGGTAAAATAAATGATTTTTTAACTAGTTTCTTTTGGTTGCATTGAGAAGACAGAAGTTTATTCAGAAGGACACTCGTTTTAAACCTATTAACGGATACTAACTTATTTAATATTACTTGATCCAAACACATTAACCGTACTTGATCCAAACACATTAACTGAAGCACTTGCAGGTACAATTGACTGCAATATAAGAATATTAGTGTAATAATTTTAAATTATCACATATCCACAATCGAGTATTTTCAAGCAATAGCTTTTCTGGAGCACAGTGAGATCCAAAAGTAGTTTTAACACGCTTTTGTAATACTTTATAATGTTTGTCAGCGTTGTCTTTGTAATATATTTCAATACAATAATCATGATTCAAATATACATATTCACCGTGAAGACCAGTTCTTGTGGCATGCTATAAAATGTCAATAGTTATTATGACATTATTTAATTATTTTAGTTTACCCCACTATTTCAGCTACTTTGGCAATGACAGAAGCTGTCAGGTAGTTTCACTTCTTTACGAGAGTTTTTCTTGCTTTTGTGTTTATATGTATTGTGAAAGATCTACCATACCATACGCCATTCGTCACCATCACTTCTGCTAAATTATGTAGTTGTTTCTTGTATTACAAGACATTTGAAATAATGCCAAGAACAACCCACAATATTAGTTCCCTTTCCCATTCCCGTTCCCACAAATCACGCTCTGGAAACGCAATGAAAACGCCTTTTAGCACGCAAATGCAAGATCTTGCAAACTGGCGTAACCTCGCAATCTCCCTCCCCAGAGATTTTTGCCATTCCAACGAAAATGTCCCTGGTTGCGATATTGCCAGTACATTGGGGATTTAAGTTCGGGTTGCCTCTTGCTTCAACTTAAATTGTAATCAAACTCCCTAAGCCAATGTAGTTAGTATGGCGGGTAGTTTACGGGAGGTTGGTATTGCGAATCACACCTTAGGTGAAACAGTAAAATTAATTCAATAATATTTGGTATACAAGTTAATAATTATTTATACACCGAGGATATTACAAGAGTTCTATTGAAACTAGCAACAAAGAGCCATGTCGTGGTTGGAGTCGAAGAATTTGCACTTGAAGGCGAAGTAAAAAGCAGTCGCAAATTTCTGCAATACTTTTGATGTAAAGTGCAGGAAAGTAATTATCATGTACGCACTCTAAATTTAATGTATACATACTAGTAACTTTAAAACACGTGTACATTAAAGTTAGTGTGTAAAAGTAAATTTAATTTACGTGTAAAATTAAAGTTAATGAACATCTGTACATTAATTTTACTGAACCTGAGTTTAGTGAACTCATTCTTTAAATTTAATGTGCGTTCATGACAATTGCTTTCATAATCTTTTACAATAAAAGTAATGCAGAAATTAGGCATACTGCGTAATATTCATTTCCCGAACTTCAGTTCTTTGACTTAATTTGTTTGGTCCATTGTATTTAAACAGTCACTTGAAATCTGCAGCACATCCATCAACAAATAGAGATTAACAAGTTTTACATTTCATGAAAATAATATTAAATAATAGTAATGAATATTAATCACGTTACCTTCAGAAATACACTATGTGTCAATTTCTTCTGCTTCTTTCAATGTTAACCGCCAACTTCAGAAGGAAACTGTTATGATGAAAACAGGAAGTGAAGAATAACGTTCAACAGTTTCACATGCTTTCATATCAGAATGTGATGATGTTTCTTTGATTTTGCACACGTTTTAGAATTTGAGCAAATCTGCTGTTACTTGAACAGGAAAAACACTCGACTATAAGAGCTTCAGAATTTAAAATGAATCCGAAACGCCCGAGTACCAATGTTTCCGCACGACAACCAGCCTTTCTATTTCCAGAAATAAGCAGGCTTCCGTCACCCTTTGTGTTACTGCCTTGAAGATATCGTGTTCTAGGAAAGGGTTCGGATTTCCCTAAGCCTCTTTATGATCCCAAAATAAGGTACTGGGAAGCACGCATCCAGGAAAGAAGGTAAAAATCACCGTGTATCGTTTCTTCTAAATGCGAATATTGAACGATTTAATACAATATTAAACTAAATGGTTTTGTAGAAAAATTATTTGAAATAATTTTTTTAGTCCTTTAATTAAAACAATTGTAGTATCGGCATCGAGTTATAATTGTTTCCGAGTATTTCCGCTGAATTTGAAAAACATACAAACTACAGAATTAACGTGCTGTGCTGGCCGTTAGAATTTCATTATATTTATCGATAAAAATGTGAATCTGAAGTTTAAAAAAATAATTTTTATGTTTTTTTATGAGACTGTGTTTTAAATTTATTATACGTTAATTAAAATAGTAAAAAAAAATTAAGTTTTTGAAAGGTATCTATGTTCCACGTGTTCTACAATTATAAATCAATTCGGCGCGAATTTTAATTTAAACATTAAATGTAAGGTCAAATTATATTAATCTCTCTTTTATTTAACAGGTGTATTGAGTTTCATGTGCTGATTTATATTAAATCTAAATATATTTTAATTTAAACATAAATGTAATGTACAATAACATTAATTTCGTTGTAAGGTACAAGGTACATTAAGTTTCATGACAGTCGTACATTAAATCACATTGATTTTAATCTAAGCATTAAATGTAATATACAAATACATTAATATCCTTTAATGTACAAAGTACATTTATATTAATTTAGAGACGTATATTAATCCACATTAAAGTTAATGTAATTTCTGACAGTGTACATTTGATACGAGTTTTCTTCTTGTCGATGACATTAGGTGATTGTTACACCTCCTGCGTTCTAGAATGTATGCTTTTAACAGTGTAAGCACATTTCTGAGGCCACGACTCCTGTTGAGAAGGACGTTTGCGAATTTTAAAAGAAATATGCATTTTATAAGGCAGGACGTAAGGTCATCATCCAATGTACGACAGTCGATGTATACGACTTAGTTTTCCGTGAAGTTCTGTTCCAAGAGCTTGCAAGCACTGCGCTCTGCGCTTCTGCGCCTCCAAAGGAGCTAATATTGTTAAAACGACACGTACCTTCTCCCCTAATTTTCCCCCAAAAGTGTGCAAAAAGTACTCAAATTTGTGAAACTTATTTGAAAATGTTTGGTACCTAACATAATAATACTAATTCAAAGTCCGAAAACAGTGGCGACAGCACAGCGCACTACGCCCATGCATTTCATTCAATGTTATCTGCTCGAAAATAACTTTCCGTCTGTTGATAGTTTTCTGAAAATACGGTACCTCTCGATACACTTCGGTACCTCTAATCTCCTCTTTTTTTACTTTTGCCGACGCTCAGAGCTTCTCATTCGCCATGACTAGGAGCGGATTTGATGTCATAAAACATTACCAAAAATTCAAAATTTGCTCTGAAACATTTTTGAAGTGCTCTAAAAACGAAAAATTATTCATATGAACAACTCAAGCTGTTGGATGTGTTACTGATGTAGTCGTGATTTTTTTTCCTTTCGTTCAAGTGAACTCAACTTGAAAACTGTTTGTTTGAACTGTTCTTTACCAGGGAATATCTGTCTTTTGTTATTCCGAACCGATAGTGGCTCTGATAGGCATCTCAGGAAACTTACATTACATACAACGGCTGAATTTACAATTTCTGTGCGAAGCTATCGAAAAAGTTGTTCAGGAATTCTATGGATAACATTGTAATCGCATAATCTGGTAAATATTTTTTGAAGCAAGTTCCATTACAATTGTATCAAAATCTATTAAATTAGCAAAAATATTTCAAAATAATAGAAAAAGGTTTAAAAAGGCTTATTAGTTGAAATCGACAAACATTTTTATAAAAGTGATATAAAAATTGATCATGTACTGTTGTCGCAACATAAAAGTTACGTCTACCCTAAAAGATATTATACTAAAGAGAACGAAAAAAATGACATTTCATTAAAATCCTCCCTGGTCATGAAAAACACTAATGGAAACACGCATTCGGATACGCTCTCAGGCTCCGACGCATGTGTTTGCGTTCTTCGTATATACGCTCATTTCCGCCCAGTCTTCTCAGCAATAGAAATTGTATTGCATTTGCGATGTAATATTTAGGGTGGCTTAATTTTCCGACAGTGACACTACTCCGAAGTTCTCTATCTTTCTCCCTTCGAGTGAATATGCTTTCCTTTGCGCTCTCGTTCTATTCGTTGAGTATTTTCACTAGTGGGATGCAAAAGAAGTGTGTGTATTAGTGAAAACGAATTCGATCTTTTCTGGCCGAACACTTTTGTGGATCAAATTAGGGCCTTTTGAGGCAGCCTGCCTTTGCAAAGCACAATTAGCACAAGTATGATTCATCGTATTTTCGTCTTGCGTGGAAAATCACTAATAAGTGACTTATTCTGTGGCCGTATACAACAATATTAAATGATCATTTATATCAAAACTTTTACCATTCAGTTTGAGGAAAGTAGCTTTTTCGTACCACGAATTTCTTGCTCTTCGAAAAGGGGAAGCATCTATCAGTGTTCATTGTAGTTTCGTCACAGAAAAATCGTGAAAAATTGCAGAATTCTCCAACTGTTGAGAACAACATAATCCCCCTCACCATAGATCTATGTCAAACGCACTTTTCCTTCTTCTAGTTTTTTGTATCAAACGTGATGGCAGGAATGCGTTAATTTATTGAATATAAAATCCCCCCAGAAAGAAATTCTGGTCTATATATCCTAGATTAATTAACTCCAATTAGTTTGAATCGATTGATATGCAAACTTCATAAAATATATCTTAGTAATTTGACTTTTAATTATAAACTTACATGAAATGAAAAGTTCACATCATCGAAGAGAGATATGTGTTTTTCCTTTAACTGGAAGTATTTGCTTAAAAGAATATATCTTGACTAATTTTTACATTATTCTAGAAATACGCCCTGGCTTCGTACACCATTTCCTGATATGTATTTCGATAGGTTTTTCATAAAGTGTAAAAATTTATTGAACCAGGTTCGTAACCCTAGAAAGTAGGGCATACCGTTTTGATACATTAGTCTTATCTCGATATACTACACTTGGCATTGAAGCTACGTTTTTTACGATTTTTTTCTACTGCATGCGAAATGCATGCAGCTCATTTCATAGGTTTGCTCACTTTGAGGTAACTCCCCTACTGTACTTCTTTTTCGGTTATCTCATCAGGCACAAATTACTCTGTGAATTCACGGCACATGCTAGATCTCCGAAGCTTATCGGATCTAGCAATATACCTAGCGTTGCCCGGGATTTCTTCATATCCAGTCCCTGTGGAAGAAAAAGAAATCAATTTTAATAATACACGTAACACTTTTTCTTTTTTCACAACTAATGAACATTTTTTCAAAAACCCAGTGTTGTCCGTATTGTATTAGTTAAGATTAAATTGATATAAATCACGGGGTTTAAGATTTTTTATATAATCTGTTCAAATTTTAATAAAACACCGTAATATTCTTTCATTGTATTTTACAGAACATGGCTATTATATTGAAAGTGTCAGTCTTACGTGCCAGTTCTGCTGCATTTCGACTGACCTCTGACAAAATATATTAGATACCATGTACTCTTAGCGAGAGGCGACAATGATCATGCTATATCAACCAACACATTTTTTTGTTTATTTGTTTTCTGCATTTGTATTGTCTTAACCTTTACCAACTTTACAAGAACACTGCAATAATCCTAGAGAATAGCCTGTAAAAATTTCGTATCTTTTAACACGCTATTCTTGTGGTATCTATATATCGTTGAATTCTCTTTTATTGGCATAGATTATCTGTATAAGTGGATAGGAGGACCATAGGAGTGGGAGACCATTAAGCCATAGGAGGTCACGTGTTCCGCCCATCGCTCAGTTCTAAACAAAAATGGGGACAGAACAGGAAGGTAAGAATAGCTCACTGACCCTGGCCTCTATTGTAGAGTGCCGCTCCGGCATCACGTGGAAGGGAGAAGAGCAATCGTGGAAATCACTGATCGCATCAGTCGGCGTAGTAATTCGACACTGGCTGGCGCCGGAATCTCGCCGATGGTAAACACATGAAAACCTGCGACCCCTGGTGCGGACAGAACGGTCGATCCTTCAATCGCCGATGCTCTTGAGACGTAAGGACCAGCCTAGTGTGCTCAGAGCTGGCATGAAAAGGTTTTAGGATTTGGGAAGGGCATGCCAATATTCGTCGTATTTGTTTTCTCATTCAAGTATATTGACCTGAATGGAAAACACCCGGAAAATACTGAGTTTTATTTAGCGTTGCAGACTGCAATCTTCACCATTGGTACCCTTCCGTTTTTCTTTTTCACGTTGTTCTTACGAATGATGTCTGCAAAATCTCCAGGTTAACATTTTGACATTAATTTGTGTTACTTTCAAATGTTGTCTATTCTCCAATTCAACCCTCTTCTGTTTGATAAGTCAAGAAAATTGAATTCAATATCCAAAAATACTCGTATTCTTGTGCGTACCGCTTGTCACCGTAACAAACACCAAACGCCTTCTAGTCTCTTTCACGTTGATCATCTCTTTTCCCTTAACTCATCATTCCTCCCCCACCCCGCTCAAATTGCATTCTAGAAGTTATTCTTTCTTTCAACTTCAACTTTCAACACTTCAAGTGTTCCGCAATACTGTAATAAAAATTATTGACGAACATATCGATATTTCTTCTTGAGATCATTTGTTAATATTTCAGTTCAATTCAATTATTCTTCTTTCCACGTCGAGGCTCAGGTGATCAGGTCCGCTCTTCCGTCTGGCCAAGCAATTTCAAAAATTAATCACTTTGGATTTGAACTCGGGAACTTCAATATAACTATCCTATGTACACGCCAAAAGTTTCGCAACCAAAGACACAAAATGTTATTTGTAATCCAGCTTTTGATTCTGTGTAATTACATGAATTATCACAACAGTTAAAATGAAACAAAATACGACAATTAAAAACTATTACAATATTGACGACTTGCATTCCCATCTACTGATTCTCCATCCCCGCGTTACCTTGTCCTTCGTGTTACGAAAGTCAGTGAGTTTGTCACTAGATCACTGACCTTAAAGAAACTGACTATTTAAAACTATTTATGTTTAAACTGAGATTTTTACTTGTATTAAATTAAACTGTTATAAATTTAATGGCGTGTAATAGTAAAAAATGCGTGTGGATATGATTTTGGAGTTATCCTGTTCTAACCAAACACCACATAATTTCTTCTCTTCCTTATTGAATTCCTTTATTAATGTATCGTCAAAACCTGATGAAAAGACTGTATGTGACGGATGTGTGAAAATCGAGTGTTCTATAATATACGCATCCTTTTTACATTTTGCGAAAACCATTTACGTACGAATGCCTTTTCAGTCAACTTTGGTTTACTTGCATCTTAAATCTGAGAAAAACTCAATTATTACTCCATGGTGGTTGTAAATGGTGACTTTAACTATTTCTTTAAATATCAAAGTATCTGGACGAGCTAAATTGAATGATACAAGGCACGTACCTCCATTAAAAATGGCCATCGCTGATCCCTTGATTGTCTACGAGGTCTTATGTTTTTACGCAATGGTGCAAACTCTTATAAATAGTGTTTTGTAATGCGCTCGTACTTTTCGGTCGTCGGTGTTTATATGTGGCGAAAAGTAACTTTTGAGGCATTTTATCTATGGATGTGATCAGGTTAAGTTTCGGAAAGACAAGTATTGGTTTGCGTATACACAAATATTGCTTGTTATTACTAGTTACTTTTTGCAAGTATTTTTTACAGAAACAGAGATACAAATTTGTGAATTATCAACTGTCGTGTCCCAATTGTATTGGTTTGCGTATACACAAATATCGCTTTTTATTACTCGCTATATTGTCAAGTATTTTTTACAGATACTGAAATGCAAATTTGTGATTTACCAACTGTAGTGTTCCAATCACAATATTTAAGTAACACCTAGCGTTGACTTGTTAACACTTTCGAAAACATAAGTAATGCAGAAAGCAAAATACATGAAACTTATGAACTCTGAATTGAACCACTAGCAACAGTTGAACGCAATTGAACAATTGTACGATACGGTTCTACTTTTCATCGCTTTATTTCAAACTAATTACGTTGTTCTATTATTGTGTGTAGTAGCAACCGAAACATCTATTTTTATTATTTTTACCAGAAGAAAGAATATCCTCATTTATACAATTCAGAAGGAAGTCGGTAGTTGCGTAAAGGTAGATGGAGCGGAAGTGAGTCATTCAACGGCTGGGTGCTAGTAGTTGGCCAGTGTGAAAAAAATATCTAGTTTGAAGTGAACTGTATAAGATTGTTATATATTGCCATATGTCTAAATTTATAATAAACATTAATTATATATAAATATATTCATGAGTTGTGTTTCTACAACTTTGAAGCAATCGTGTGGAGAAAGAAAATAAAGATTGGATACTGAACCTGAAGAAAAGTACAGAGAAGACAAAATATATGAAGAATAGAATAATGAATACAGAAGTCGGTAGTATTTATAGCAGTAAGATATCAGGGGTGTTCTAAGTTCTCGTACTTGACGGAGACCTAAAATTTATCCATTTTTCTTACTGTCTTTGAAAGGTCAGGACTCCATATATTGGTAACTGGATATGCCATAACGCGATGAGAACGTCTATGTACACGTGGGTAGGGCTATTTCTCTAGATCCAAGGTTACCAGCCAGTTCAGGTGGCACCAGAGAAATAAACCACTCTTGGCCGGAACAAGTCCTCGTGCATGCAATACCTCAAATTGCATAAGTATCTTTCATTACTACGACGAACCGATAACCCAACTGGGAGCAACCAGGTTCTGTACTCTCAAGGCACAAAAAACGTCCACCCACCTTACTGCTCGGACTTTCGTCCTAACGATGTAACACCATTGTTACGAAACAAAAATATAAATATGTTCCAGTTGGTTGAACTAGGAGCAAAAGACAACTGAGAGATGAAGTATCGGTTACCATGGACGCAATTTTGAGGGAAACTGGATCAAGTTCGCTAGAGAATGGACGCTTGAATGTAGGCCGGGAGTATTAACGTGATCTTCTTGTATTTCAAACCTAAGTAGTAAGACTTCAAGATATTGGAAGTTGTACGAAACCTTGGGGAAGGTGCTTCAGCAAATTAATCGGCGGTTTTCGAGTAAAGAACAAGATACCCACGGAAATGTAGAAAGTAACATTTGTCGATCGATTCTGGTTACATGAATTCACGCCCATCATATTTGGTTTGTGTTTGAACTTAGTGATTTATTTAAATTACATCAAGAGAGGGGCCAACACACAACGATGTTTGGTGAGTGGCAATTCAGCTGCCGCTGAATTTATGGGTGGTACCAATGATCGCGTGCATTTGCGTGGTCTGTGTTGTTGCGGAAGCGTTGCGGTCAGAATATTCATAACAAACATGAAACTCGTCATCGGGCAGGAGTTACTACTACTACTACTACTACTACCCTCGAGAACAATTTCATATGAAAACAGAGGTCTAATTCCACCCATGGGGGAAGAAGAGAATACATAAAAAACTAGTGACTTGAAGCTACAAAACTGCATCTCAAGAAAATCACAAAAAAATATTTTCCAAAAAGGGTCATGCACACTATTCAAGAACAACAAATAAAATAATTTTGTTGAACAGTGCAACAAACAAAATATTTTCATAAAAACATCATAAATACTGTCTTAATATACTACCAATGCTCAGTAGTGTACTACATATTAAGAAAATGTAATAATTTACTGTTCTACAGCAAATATTTATTGGTGGGCGGCTTCTTTCCTGGTGCCTGCCGACACATGGCGTCAGCAGTGACGCTCTGATTACTCAAATTTAGTACTTCAACGCTGCGTGAGAGAAGTGGAATAATCCAATTATGTATTTTCATTTTTGAGTGAAAATTGAAACGATTTCATTTTTGTAATTTTACAGAGTTACCAGATACTATTAAAGGTTTCGTTAAACATTTCTCACATAGCTGGAAGCTAAATATAACTCATTCAATTTATGCGTATACTCTAAAACTGAAATATATAATGAAGATGGATATGCTGAAGCAGAATACGAACATGAAAGAGACAGTGACGGATCTTTGCCTGTGCAATGAACAGGTGCGCGAAGTCGGCACCAAGATCTCGGTAGGCCCGAATGTGATGGGAGCGATTGATTTGTGATTCCGGCCGCGTCAACTGCTAACGTCATTATATCCGTAAATGTAGTGCGTGTTTTATCGCGGGAGGTGGCTGTGTTCTTTGCTCGCGAGATTGCGGGATCCGGCGACGTCCTACACGTCAGCTTGCAGAATTTTACCCAACCAGGTACCTCCCACCCGCGGGCACCGCCCCTGCCCGAACAAGCACTACGTTCCCGACTGGTCTCCCAACATGTCTGGTTGTGTAGTGCATGTACGTGTGTGTGGACGTAAGAGATGAGAATAGTTCAAGGATCAGGGGAAAAATATCGTGCGCGGTCCTTGGCTCTTTTGTCAGAATACGGTTCCGGCATTCGCCTGGGATTCATCGGAGAAACTACGGTGGAGGCCAGAGCAAGAATTCTCCTCCAGATAATTGCTGGATTCGACCTATCTAATCTCGAAAATCCGTCCACTGTCGGGACTCAAACCAGTCGCCAGGACCTCCCGTCAGAGGCACTACACTGTCAATGGATGCCCTGAGCCGCCTCAGCCGGAACGCGCCATGAGCTTGATGGGCAGGATTGTGATGGAGAGCACGCGAGGTATGAAATGCAACGAAGGAAGACCGAGAAGATAAAATGTATTGTCTACATCCAGAGCCTTACACATTTTGCTTGCAATGTAAAATTGAGGGAGTCAGAAGATCTAGCGACTTCGACGAAATTGGTAATTTGTTACGAATGGAGAGGCCTGTGAATGATAATTTTCTCTCTCTTCCTAAGCTGGCAACACAAAATGTTTTAGGAGATACTTCTTCAGTGCAGCTGTAAAATACGCACTGAGTTACGATATTGAATACTATCGTTTAATAATACAGGGAACTCTCAGACTTACGGCAAAGTAGTCGGTCAATAAAATCCAAAAAATACGTAGTAATTTGTAGAATATATAATTGATATCATTGAAGAATTTATCATCGATGTCAAAAAAATGTTATACAGTGGTCGTCGAATACATTTTCTACATGAGCATGAATATGGAATTAGATGTTCACCGCATTGTTTTTGAATCTCCCTTGACTTCACTCGCTCATCAGCGTCATCTGCGCCTTCCCGGCATCCCCGGGGACCGTGGATCAGAACTCAACGGCGGGGCGCGAATCGGTCCATAACTTATTCGTTAAAGTCTCTAACTTAATTCATCATTTCTTTTTCAGCAAATAATACGCAAAAGTATTCCTTCACTCTTGCTGCCTGTGATCAAATGTCTTGTTGTGGTTCAATGTTGAACACCGTCTTTCTGCTTCCGATGTTGTCCATAGGAGTTGTAACAATTAATTTCAGTAAAAGAATCACTTTAGTGAATGACTATGCGAGCTTATTTTGAATCAAGAATTGAAAAGCATT